TTTGCAGTTAATAGCAGCTAAACCGTCTGCAAAGTCTTCCCTGTTTCGGGACACCTACAAGGCTACAACTACTCTTCTCCCTCTCTCTCTCTCTCTCTCTCTCACACACACACACACACACAGTGATATTGATAGCAGTCGCAGATATTGGTTTTGGGCTTGAATGGCGGCCCCGGAGAACGCGACAGGATCGAGTCTGCGTCTCGCCTTTGGAAATGTTCTCTCATTCTTCATTTTGCTTCTGATCGGTGTTCTAGCATTTTCGATCCGACTCTTCTCAGTAAACACCTGATCTTAGATCTCCATACTATATATACGTATAATATATGTATACACACATATACAATCGCATATGTATTTTAATGGTTTTCTGTTATCGAAATTGAACAAGTATTTGTTTGTTTGTGTGTTTGAAATGAATTTTGTGGATTCTCAGTACTTCAAGACTTACGTACTATTGATTTGTATTTTCAGGTGATTAAGTACGAGAGGGTTATTCATGAGTTCGATCCTTATTTCAATTACAGAGTTACTCAGGTCTGAACTGTTACCTTATTAGCGTATGTCTGAAATTGCAGAGCTTTCTTAGCATCAAATTTGAATACAAAAATCTGTAATTGCGTCCCAAGGTATCCAATTTTGAGTATATGATAAATGAAGAGCAAAATGAAATTCGTAGGACTGATGACTTGCAGAGAAAAAGAAATGTAAACTTTCTTGAGCCCATGATGGTGAAATTGAAGCTTGTATCATAACCAGGAAGCTTCCATTTTATAATTTAGTTACTTAAAACATGTCCATTTATTTATTTACTTTAGTATGTTCTCTCATAGGAATGACTTTTGTGCAATGTCATAAGAGATTAAGAGTAGGTTGATGTTGACAAGAGTATTTATTGGTTTCAGTATCTTGCAAAGAATGGGATATATGACTTTTGGAATTGGTTTGATGATCGGACCTGGTAATGGAAATTACAACTCGTGGAAAAATTCTCAGAAATCTTCTTGCTTACTGTTTTGGTTTTCAACTGACAAATGTAAGTCATGCTGTTTATTTTACTTGTCCTGAGGTATCCGCTTGGGCGTGTGATTGGTGGAACTGTTTACCCTGGATTGACGTTGACGGCAGGCACCTTGTGGTGGTGTGTATTATAGTCATGTTACATCCTAGAACAATAAATTTTCCCCAGTAGCGGTTTACTGGTCTGTCAGACTTAGTTAATTCTGTTTATTTGGTTTTCCAACTATAACAGCTTATAATCTGACCTGGGGTCATACTTTATTATGGCAGGATACTGAATTCTTTAAACATTCCTCTATCTGTGGAGACTGTTTGTGTATTTACTGCTCCAACATTCTCTGCTATTGCTGCTTGGGCTACTTTCCTTTTGACGAAGGTGTGCTTTCTGGCCAGCTTAATCTTTGTTTTTTAATTGTAGTTATTACCATTAGGTTAGCTGATATCTTTTAATATATTTCTTTGAGCTTAGGTTTCTCAATCTAGTTTTGTTGGCCCTTGTAATAGGAAGTTAAGGGCACCGGTGCTGGACTGACTGCTGCAGCTCTTTTGGCCATGGTAAATTTTGTATTGGGTATCTGTAACTTCATTTCTTATTCTTTTTGATGCTGTTTTGAAATTTTAAACAGTAGTTTCTCATGTAGTCATGTGTCCTTTTCCTTGCAGTATTATTGCCAAAAATATATGAGCATATCTTTCTAATATTTTTAATCATTTTCGAATGATATTCAACAATTTGAGCTGAGCTACCTCATTTGTATTTCTCTTTCTTTCATTCATCCCTTTTTTCCTTCCCTGTTCTTTTTTACTGTTTCTCTTGGACATAGTTGTCAGTCAGTAATGACATATTGGAGCATCAGGTGTACATCTTGTTATGGTAGGGTTTTGTTGTTAGAAGTTCATCAATTGTGTGTTTGATTTTAACAGTAAACCTGTTGACAAGCTTGTCTGTCTTACTTTTGTTTTTGTTCTTTTCTTGGTGATAGTAGTACAAACTTTAATATTAAGTTTGCTGCTCTATGTGTTTGTGGTACTCTATTCTATCTGAATGTAGACAGTAAACCTCTCGACCAAGCTTGTCTTACTTTTGTTTTGTTCTTTTCTTGGTGCTAGCTAATATTAAAAACTTTAATATTAAGTATGCTGCTCTATGTTTTTGTGGTACTCTATTTTAAGTGATAATCATACTCAATGTTTTCTATGTGATCTTTTTTAGGTTCCATCCTATATATCTCGCTCTGTGGCTGGCAGCTATGACAATGAAGCTGTTGCTATATTTGCTTTGATCTTCACTTTTTATCTCTATATAAAGGTCAGATTTGATAAGAGTTGTGTTAGGGTGTCCCTACTGTGCTATATTTAGTACTAAAACTAAAATTTGTTAATATCTTTGTTACCGTACTATAGGTTGATAATTTTTAATGGATCTTTATTGAAATTTTACTGATGGATTGTGATTTGTATAACGAACCATTTCCTGACTATGATTACTCCTTATCTGCAGACACTGAACACTGGATCCCTCTTTTATGCTACTTTAAATGCGATAGCATACTTTTACATGGTATGCTTTGTGTGTTAGTATGCAAGTCTTCATCTCATCTCTTATTGTACTAGCGTCTGTCAGTTTGGCGTTTCCTTTATTCTTATGTTTGCTGGTGTGCTATATTTTCTTTCAGGTTTGCTCTTGGGGAGGGTACACCTTTATTATCAACCTCATTCCAATGCATGTGCTTCTATGCGTAACTAACTGGTCGCTATTCCTCTCGGCTGTACATTGCATATGCTCCACTTGTAAGTATGTGGTGCATTGAAGGAAGTTGAATTATATTCTAAAACAGTTTTAGAGTATCCATTTATCATGAAAGATTAGAAAATACTTGGGATTACTTTTTAGAATCTTGGCTATATAAGGATAGAGGGTACTATAGATGAATTAAATTAAAGTCACAAAGCCTTCTATCTGGGGTCAGTCAAAGTAGCTTTTTCTTTACAAGTTAAGGAGATTTTAGGAGATCTGGGAAAGGGACATAAGGAAACGCTAGAAGGATAGAAGCTAGGAGAGATTATGAATAGTTTGGCTGCATACAAAGATATAAAAGTTTATTTGGCATGCATGCATGGGCGGTGCTACCATTGGGCTATCCCTCAAATTTTTTTGCTTAACATTAGCTATGTATTTTTTTAAATAAAATTTAAATATATTTAATTGTGCCCACCCAATTATTGTGATCTTGTGATATGGATTAGAATAAAAAATTCATACCTAAATGATTACTAACTTTTGACCAATGTTATTGGAACCTAATTTCAGTACCTAATATATTGTGACATTAAGTCTAATAGTGAGTTCCAATATTTAATAAAGTCCACTATCCATACGATGGATACGATTCGAACATATCTAAATAAGTTTTGGACATATTAAGGGTATTTTGTAATTTTTTAAAATTATATGATTATTTTATTATTATATAGAAATAAGTGACTTTATGTTAGAACCTACAGATTCATAAATGAAAGATTGTTATCAAGAATTTATATAGAAAAAAAAATATTTGTTGATGGCATTGATTTGTAACACTTTCAAAAGATTAAAAAATTATCAAAATCAATTGTAAATGATAATAATTAGTCTTATTTTTTGTACCAAATTATAATTAATTTCTTTTTTATTTCTTCGTACTCGTGATGTAGATCAGTTTTAAATTTTTTTATGTTTAATAAAATTTGAAGTTTTTAAATATGATTTCAACAAATATGAATTTATGAACTTCTACGGCTCCGATAAAAAATAAAAAAACTTCTACGATCAATTGAAAAAAAAATATAACTTATTAATGTGCCCATCCTAAACTAATTTTCTGGCTCCGCCCTTCCATGCATGCGAAGTAGTACATGAAGTAATTGCTTCGGTTTATTCCAGTAAGCGTTGTTCTACCTTAGTTGACTATATTATATTGTATTGGAAAAATGGGGCTGTGAGATTGCAATCCTTGTTCAACTCTGCCCACAGACCTATACCCCTTGAGGCCCGGCAAAGAAAAGATAGAATAGGACGATTTTCAAGCGTATAGAGAATGACACGGTCATCTAACCTTATTACTCTCATCATTTGTTTCCCGAAAGGCAGAACTGAAGAACACTCTCTTTGGGACTGGGCATGATCCCTCTTCTTTCTTAAACCTCGTATGTAGTATGGATTATTTTTTCTTCTCCTTTAGTTTTGAGATAATTGTTTGGGGCTAAGCTAAGCTAAGCTACTAGGGTTTAATGAGTATGTGTTTTGATTTTAATGATTATTTTTATTTGTTCACTATTGGGAATTTGGGATTTTTATTGGTGCTAAGCTCCTGAAGTTTCCCCATTGCAGTTCCCCATGGTGCTTAACCCCTAGGTTTGCCCACTACAGTTCTCCTTGGTGGTGCCAATAGTTCAATTCTTTTGCCGTACAAATTCTTTTGCTTCACCAAGTGTGAGAACGCGAATTCGAGCCTTAGGGCAACCATTTAGCACAAATACAGCAATTATAATTTATTCCAATTTTATTCCTCCCTGCACTCTCCATTCATGGCTACAAACATTGTATATGGCCTTCAAAATACTTTTTATTGATTAAGTGACTGGCATTTTCATCTTTGGGTTATTATGGCCGATTATGAATTTGATATTTCAAAAACCACAACCTCATGTAGTGCAAAATATATCATTTCAAGTGACGTAATTATTTGTTGCTGCTATCTTTCAAGGAAAATATTCCTTAGTAGTTTTCTGCTATTATTCTTGGAGTATAATTTGTTGCTATTTAGTATTTTCTGCTGATTTTCCTTGATTTGGCTCCAAGAATTCGTCTAAGATAAATATTTCTGCTATGTACCTTTTAAGAAAAGGTTTTCTTCAATCTGAAACTCTCAATAATATTATAGCATTTACAATGCAGGTTGTCTTGGGAACATTGTTAGCCTCATTGGTGCCAGTTGTTGGCTTTAATGCAGTCATGACATCAGAACATTTTGCATCGTTTCTGGTGAGTTTCATACTGATGATTTTCCCCTTTTCTTTCATTGTTCATTTCTATTTTGTTCACCTGACAATATGGTTCTTATGAGTTTTTAATTTGCATTTTATGTGGGAGATAGTCTCAGAGTACCCGAAGCTGTCAGCTAGGTTCATATTTTTAAAACCTTAACACCCAGAGATTTTTTTTTATATTCAAAACAAGAGAATTTTGAGCATTATGGGGGAGAGGTACATGAATAAAATATGGGTGAGGTCTGAGGTGTTTGAAATTGGGTGCACATTAGACATGACATCAAACAAAATATAAGATTCATTAGTATATTTTGAGAAGTGGCTTTTGAATTTTCCTTTCACTATTTTTGTTTGAAAGTGCCCCATAGCTGTTTTGAGTTGACAGCTTGCTTAACAACCATGCTTTTTGATATACATGTATGACCTAATTCAATAAGCTTGATTCCATCCTTTTAGGGATTTAGCGGAGGTATGAGGCATGGTATTAACCCCCTCCCTTTCTTTTCATGAGGGGGCATAAAGTGCATCGTATCCTCCTGCTTGACATCTTATCTCCAAATTATATGGACAATTTTGATTGACATGATTTGATATATATTGTGCTCCATCTTGCATTTTTGGCTCAAAGAGAATGCTGGGTGGTTTGCTTTTGGAACATATGTAGGCTCCGTGATGTATCACTTGCTTCTTAACTTGGACATTTATATTCAATGTTTATCATTTGCAACCTTTTTAGTGCTTCCAAGTAATTGATACCCAGTTCAAAAAAAATCAAAAAGAAATTGATACCATCTTTTCTTGCTTAAACCTCTAATGTGCAGGTTTTCATTTTTATCCATGTGGTGGCTTTTGCATATTATATCAAAGGACTCCTCTCCCCAAAAATGTTTAAAGTAGCTGTTACACTTGTCGCATCTGTTGGCATGTAAGCTTTCCTTTTCTGTAGTTGCTCAATAATGCGGACGAAGTTGTTACAAAATTGGCAAACTCAGATGACACAATGGAAATATATAACTAATGCTTACTGCTTCAGAATTTTTTTTCAGAAGAGATTTTCACACTTTCTTGAAACTGTTGGAGCACAGATTTTCTTGTACTTTATGATTGGTTCACATGGATCACCAACTATGAACTTCTGATGTGGCTTATTTTACATCATGATTCTATTTTTTAGGGTACTATGTTGTGCTGTAGTAGCAGTACTTATAGCAATGGTAGCTTCTAGTCCAACAAAGGGATGGAGTGGAAGAAGTTTGAGCCTGCTTGATCCGTAAGCCTTTTGTGTCAAAATTCATTTCATTAGCTGATGGGTTGCTCTTAGTTTTAAATTATGAAATCTTAGGTTCATGCGAGACAATTTTGTTCGTTGCTGTAGAACATATCCGTTGTTCAATTTTTAAATTGAACTTACCCAATTGTAGAAGTGATTCTTGAACTATATTCACGTAATACTGGTAGTGGCATGGTGATCTATTTATCTTGTCGGAGGCTCCCTCTCCCCACATCGTCAATCCATTTATTATTGGCCTTCATTAAGTGGATGAATGATTCCCTTTTTTTTCGATAAGAGACGTCAATATTAATAATAATAGAAATAAATGAGTGTTACAAGAACCAAAAAAGTTGGACAAGCCGTCCAATCCTAATGATTGTAAAGAACAAAACAAAAGGCATATACAGTAGTGTTAACAGCATATTACAGCTTACACAATGCTGTCCAGCTTCTTGTTATTATAAAAATTGGTACTTCAAAATTCTTAGTCATGGATGCCCAAAAGAGGCCAAGAAAAAAAGTCTGTTCAATAGTTCATCAACTTCTTCCGATTTATCTTCAAAGATCTTCGCATTTCTCTTCATCCATAAAACTCAAATAGTGGCAAAAAAGACACAATGCCAAAGGGTTTTTTTTTTTTTGCTTTCTCCCTAACCTCAAAAATCCAAGCAAAGCATAGATGACATAGATCTCAGAACCATCCAACAAATACCAACTAATGCAAACAACTTGTTCCATAATGATAAATCCATCAATGCAAGAATGAATGATCTACACTGTCACAATCTCCTGTACACATCACACACCGTAGTAAATGACAAGTCATAGGTCTCCTTCTTTGAAGCACATCATTAGTATTAATCTTACCGTGAGCAATTATCAATGCACAAATTTTCACTTTTAGAGGAACATCAGCTCTCCAAATCTTAACAGATGAAAGAAATAGTGGAAGTGAGGAATTATCAATTAAGGATTCAAAGTAGGATTTATAAGAAAAAGCACCAGAAGTATCACTTATCCAAATTCTTTTATTCGAAGAACTTTGGGATAAGGAGACACTATCAAGCATAGAAAGTAGTACCAACAACTCCGATTGTTCCCTATCATTAAGATTCCTACGAAATCCAAAATCCCAAAAAACCGGAAACGAATTGGATATAACTGAAGATGCACGATAAAGACGGGAAATAGACTAGAAAATGAAGGTTATTTTCATGACCCAAAAAAAAAAAGACTAGAAAATGAAGACTCCCCCCTCCAAATTTCCTGTGATTCTCAAATCGACAAAGTTTTTCTCAACTATTTGTGGTTTGCTACATGAATTTTTTAGGTCATTGTTGTTTATTGTTTGCTAGACCAAAAAGCCGTCACATTTTTTTAGCGTCTTACTCAGTTAATTCGGTCTACCTCTATCCTTCACATTTTCGGCAATCACATCACTCTTCCTTACTAGTGCAAGCTCTTTAATAAAGATGTCCAAGCTATATTAGTCGCTTGTTTCATAATTTATTTTCTATTGATGCTACTTCTATTGTTTTACTAACATACCAATTACTCATGCTGAATTCTATCCTCTCTGGTTGTACTCTTTCACGGAAAAGAAGTCATCTTGTTCTTTTATGTTTGCTTTGGTTGTCTTTATACTCTCTCTAAGTTCTACTTCTTTGATATATTCTTTAGAACTCCTTTGACCATCTTGTCATTTTGTATTGTTTCTAAAGAGCATTTCTTAGGCTAAACTAATGTGTCCTGAGGTAGTTTCTGACATAGTTCCCATTTTTTTCTCTCACATTGGAGCAGAACTTATGCCAGCAAGTACATACCCATCATTGCCAGTGTTAGTGAACATCAACCTCCTACTTGGCCGTCTTACTTTATGGACATTAATGTCTTGGCTTTCTTGGTTCCAGCTGGCATTACTGTAAGTTCTTGATGATCGACCTACCGGTGCTTGTGAATATGCTTAATATTTTTTTTCAACTTTCACATCCTTATTTTTGTCTATTGCTTTTGTCTAATGGGCTTTTACACCATGGTCTCCATGTGTTGGTACTTGGCAGGCATGTTTTTTGCCGCTATCTGATGCAAGCTCTTTTGTGATCTTGTACATAGTAACATCAGTATATTTTTCTGGTGTCATGGTAAGGACAGTATTAAAACATCTGACTTCACTTATTTGCCATCTTCTTTCTGCCCCCATTATCCTTGACCATTATGGTTGTGGGCTAACATGTCAGGTACGGCTAATGCTTGTACTTGCTCCAGCGGCATGCATATTGTCTGGTATTGCTCTTTCTGAAGCTTTTGATGTTTTTACGGGATCAATCAAATTTCAGTTACCTGGCATATCTCGAAACTCCCAGATTGATGTGAGTATGCTGTTTCTTTATTTTAGTGTAATATGTTGTTACATTCATTATCAGATACTCTGCTTCTGGACTAAGATCCTTTGTATGGTGTTGACCATTAAGGCAGGGGATACTTCTTCTGCTGGTGTTGTCACCCAAGATGATGGTGTGAAGACTGATAAAAATGAAGAATCATTAAAGGAACGACCTTCCAAAAAGAACAAGAAGAAGGAAAGGGAAAATGCAGAAAAGGCTTTGATTAAGCCCCTGCTTGAGAAGAGGCTTCTGGTTTTACCTCTGGAGGCATCCGTCATTTCTCTACTTTTACTTGTGTTGCTGGGTGCTTTTTATGTGGTATGTATACATTATACATTGTTCTCCATCTTGTAATGGATCACAAGTGCATGTCCTACTGCATGGCAAGGAGATTTATCATTCTGTTGTATTTGATTGACATGCACACTGATGTTCTGTTACCCGTTTGACTATTATCACTGGAGAATGGTAATATTTGTGCTCAATCATAGATGTCATAATCATTCCTGTATGATATCATTTAGCTGCATGATGAGGCTTTCACCTAGACTCATTGAAGCTTCTACTAGAGTGAAAATGTTTGATCGGTGTTAAGGTCTTTGATGAGCATGGCCAAGTTTACGGTATCTGCCACCGACTCGGAAGGTACTGAGACAAATTGGTCGTGGCGTTAGAGAACAGTATCGAGCTAGATAAAAGAAAAAATTGGACATGACAAAAGAGTCAAACCATATTGAAACGGCACGGAACGGAACTATGAATTGGATCACTCAGCCAAGTCATTGGAGACGTATCCAAGTCAACCACGAGTCGAGTGAGGGTTGTAGTTTACACAAAATGTGTATCGGTCATGTAACGGAATGTGTCAAGCCGAATACTACTCGGTCGATTCATTGGTATCGGCCAATATTTTGACTCATGAGCCTGAGTTCTTTTTATCCCTAATCAAGGATCAAAATATCGTTTCGAAACGGTCAAATGGTCCGAAACGTTTCCGTTTTCAAGGAGACCGAAACGACAGTGATGAAACGAAATTCTAATATTTCGAGTTATTCCATAATGTTTTGAGATGTTTTATAATATTTCAATGCATTTGCATAATTATTTCGGAATGTTTCAAGGTATTTCAAGATATTTTGATATATTTCGATCAATAATTTAAAAATAATTTTTAAATTTTTTATTTTTTTCATTATGCTTCCAAAACGAGTCAAAATGTTTCCGACATACGTCGAAACGTTTCTGTTTCCTAGGTGACCAAAACGAAATTTTAATCCTTGTCCCTAATAGGATGGAGAGTGTGAATTGCAAGATCTAATATACATGGATGAGCAGAAGACCGACAATATTGTAGAGTTTTCTGGACTAGAGGCTTTGATTGGAGATGGAGGTTTTCATCGGCCTTGATCTACTTCCAAATATGCAATGGCTTAATTTCTTCGTTTTACTTTGCACTATATATAGATATATGTATATGTGTTATGTGTATAACTGTACCTTTTATTGCGGTAAGTGTTTAGAACTTCCAAATTGCTATGTTCTTTCCCATCTTGCTTATATTCGAAAATAGCCTCTTGTGCCATTGGACTAATATTAATGAAACCTTCTAATATCCAGTATTTGTGAAGAGGTGCCCAAAAATAACTATTTTTTCAGTAGACTCGTGCTATTTAGTTTCTAATAAAGAACAGTGTAGCATGTAAAATACCGTACAAAATGTAAAATGTCTATGAATGGGACCAATGGGCCAACATACAAACATTAAAAATCCAAACACTTTCGCTGGGTCCCATAGGCCTAAAATTTTGGAGGTCAGATGAGTCTAAAACCTAGATACCTAACTGTAGCTGGCATACATGCTTGAGTCTTGTCACCCATTTAATAAACAAATCATGTTTGGATTAGCGATTTTGACATGAGTAACATGTTCGGGTTGACCTATTTTTATATGATTAACTTTGAGATGGTATAAACCTAACATGATACGATGCTGTTGCCAGTCCTACAGTGTCCCCCAACTCCCTTCCAAGAAAATATAAAAACTGATCGAAACCGCTTTTATATATGACCTGTTGTTAGCTTTTATATTTTGAAAATTGCTTGGCTTTCTGTTGGAAGTTTTGCACTCAAAATCAAAATCCCTGGTCTCCTTGTAGTTTTTACTTTTTACTCGGAAGACCTGACCATTTATTTTGTGTCTCTCTTTTCTTGTTCAATTGCGTTCTTTTTTCTGTGGCCTTCCCTTCATATATAAGCTTATTTCTTCTTGCAGGTACATTGTGTCTGGGCGGCAGCAGAAGCATATTCTGCCCCTTCTATTGTGCTAACATCTCATACAAACAATGGTCTTCATGTTTTCGATGATTTTAGAGAGGCCTATGCATGGTTGAGCCACAATACTGAAGTGGATGATAAAGTGAGTTCCACTTGGTGTTTTATATAGTTTACTGCAAATGTATTCTGCTGTTCTATATTCTTTTTGACAGCTTCCAGTTAACTGGTTTGATCAGTCTGATGTGTCAGTGTACTATTCTTAAGGTGTCTTGTTTTCAAGTGCTTTTATTTTATATCTATTGTCTTATTTGATAATGCTATATTACTGCTTTCTATTTGTCTTTAATCTTCTTAATTCCTTGTTCAAACTTTAAATGTTTTTCACCATGTAATTTTTAATGCTATAATTATGAGCTATCTTGTTAAGTCAGTATTAATTGATATACTTGAATTAGCTAGGATGGTAGCAGTCATGTGTAAGTTGGATCCAAGGTCCTAGAGGCGATGGCAGCTTTGGATTTAGGCTTGAATCATTTGGTGTGATTTGTTATGCTTATCAGTGCAGGTTTCTATTGTGGCGCTATCTCATCCTCTTTGCAAATTGGAGTTAAAAAAAACTCAGCGTAATGGAAATTCCTAATCAAGGAATATGTTGACCAGGTTTTGTGATATTGATTATGCCAATCTATTCACTTGCAGTGGATTGTTTTAGTGTCTAGCATGATTGTAGCCAATTGCATCTTCAGTAGTTTCTGTTGAGCTAGCACGGAGTTGACAAAGTGAAGACGTTAGGTGATATTGATTGATTTCTTTTAAATTCTTTCAGGTGGCATCCTGGTGGGACTATGGTTACCAAACAACTGCTATGGCTAACCGCACTGTCATTGTTGACAATAATACCTGGAACAACACACACATTGCAACTGTTGGTACCGCCATGTCATCTCCTGAAAAGGCAGCTTGGGAAATTTTTCACTCTTTGGACGTAAAATATGTTCTTGTTGTCTTTGGAGGTTGGTTCCCTACCTTCAGGAAAGACTTAACAAAAAATGGGCAGGAAGTAGAAACACTTGCCTCTAAATTGTGTAATTGCATTTCAGGTCTTGTTGGCTATCCTAGTGATGATATTAACAAGTTCCTATGGATGGTTCGGATAGGAGGGGGTGTATTCCCTCACATCAAGGAACCTGATTATCTTGTAAGTAGTTAGTCCTAGTAATTGCTAATTTTAGATTAAAATTTTCCATGACCATCTTCTAGTTGATGTAACTACATTACCAGATATTAAGCTCTGACTCCATTAGGTGTTTTACAATTTAGTAATCAAGGTTGAATGCACATGGTCAAATCCTATACATAACACCACCATGTCCTGCTTACATGTTCAAATGTGTTTGTTCAGTGTATGGGAAGAAGCGTTGAATTGCTTCTAAGGGGAAAATATGAATAAAATGGAGAATTGCATGTAGGAGAAAAGCCTCTGACAGGCTTCAAACTTATGATGCCATTTATTTTTCTTAAAAAGAAAATATTCAGCACGAACAAGTTCATGCACATGAGTTTCTAATGTACATCTACTGTATTAGTTGATTTTTGTTGGCTATATTAGTTATCACCTACCACCATTGCATTGATCTGGCCTTAGCATCGAGTATTTGTTCCCTTTGCTTAGATTTATTTCGCTTATTTGTAAAATGCTAATTTAAAATAATAACCCTTTCCTTTTGTCTAAAAGAGAGATGGCCAGTACCGGATTGATTCTCAGGCAACTCCAACCATGCTAAACTGCCTCATGTACAAACTATGTTACTACAGGTGTTGTTTACTTGAACATCATTATTTGTATGTGGGTTGTGGGGTTTATACTTGCTTCGGCTATTTTACATCCTTGATTTTGTCTTGTGCTATCTAGATTTGTGGAGACAGATGGTCAAGGCTTTGATAGAGTCAGGAAAACTGAAATTGGAAAGAAACATTTTAAACTAACCCATTTTGAGGAGGTGTTTACAACTCACCATTGGATGGTCCGGCTATACAAACTAAAACCTCCAAAGAACAGGATCCGGGGAAAGACCAAGAAATCGAAGACGGTATGTGTGATCAATGTCTCTCCATCATATTGTTTAGTGTATGTGGGGGTATGTGCATTCCAGAGAGTGCTCTAATATTGACTTTATCGTTTTCACTCTCTGTTTTGCAGAAAGCTAGCTCGACTACCAGCTCAAAAGGAAGTGGCAAGAGAAACCCTTGGCAGTAAAAGCATTTTTTTAGGAATTTTTCTCAGCTCAGTTTTATTTGTAATACATATATATATTGGTATTTTAGTCTCTCGAGAGGGATTGTGCTGGATAAGTCGGACAATTCCCTTAGCAATGAGAATGATAATCACAGATTTTGTCTAACATGTGATCTAGTAATTTACTTGACTTTTTACATTTGATGCATTGTTGATGGCAGAGCAAAATTGAATCAATTTTTTCGCCAGTGACGGCCAGTCACATATATCTATTTACCATTATGTATTGCTTTTGTGAGATATGATTCATTAATTTAGGTATGAATGTGTTGCTCCTGTCCACTAACCCCATCAACTTGTGAATGCTTTTGACTCTTAACTGTGCTACGATGCAATGAGTTGTTTCCCCTTGGGGAGAGCACTGAAAGAATGAGATTCATTTTTGGACTGCAGATGGTAAGCAGTAGGGCCCCTGAGATAATAAGGATGACAATCATACTGCCGGTGGCAGAATTGGAGGTGATGGTTTTTTTTTTTAAATGTTTGGTATCGAGTATGGAAAGAACATGAGTTACAGAACCTCCCTATTTCATAGTTTTCAAGCAGTGATGTTACCTGTTTATAACTCACTGACGACATTGCTACCTACATTTTTCCTTCGCCCGTTTTGAAAGGTGGGCAATCTCTCTCTCTCTCTCTCTCGATTCTGGGTTCTACAACTGTTCACATAAACAAATTTGGGTTCTGTGACATTAATATAATGTTGGATATGGTAGGTGGAAGGTGGCCTTAATTTTGGAGTGGTGTGGGTGATCCTTGCCTCAAAATGTTCATGGTAGATGTGTCCGTTTTTCTTGAATCTTGAGATTTTATCATCTATGCGTCTTTCTTATCCTGAATTTTTATATCGCCCGCTCTTAACCATACCATGAATTGAATATCCTTCAACCAACTAACAACGTTTTTTATGGGACTTTTCTGAAATGCTCCATGATGAAGACACGTGTTCTCGGTATTACCAAAACACTGTTGCTAAGATCGAGCATCATCGGCGCATAAAGGTCCTCGCCCCCGAGGTACCCATCATATAGGATCATGCATTCAGTATGTTTTACAACCGACACGTGGCCTCGGTCTGATATGGTACCTCGGTCGGCATACCTCCCTCGGTTTCCGAGATGAGCCTTTCCTCGGTGCCGAGAGGTACCCCGTCCTGGACGCTTCCTCTACTCCAGGATAAGCTATTGACGTACAGGTCATTAGCCTAGGCTATTCATCATGACTTCGTCTTACACAATTAGTGTCACAACGTACTGGAATGCAGGGGTCACAGCCAATAAGGGATGGACACATGGCATATGATATCACATCGAAGACAGAGAAACCGCATGCCATTGCTGACACGCGACTTGGGAAAACAAACTATTAATTACATCATTCCCTTGATGAGACCGCATTCAATGCGATAAGGCTCGGAAATGAAAGGCAATAAATGCTCATAATACAGAGTATTTATTGCATCCTCCCCGAGAGGAGTACATTGTACCGTCGGCATCCCGATGACCCATCATTGATTGCTCGGGACCCCGAGCAGTTAAAAAGAGAAGACATTCCTCATCAGAATCAGTGCGCACACTGCCTGTACCTAATGATCACCTACTGACTACATTGACAGCAATCATGAGATTTTGAGGTATAAATACTCCTTGCAAAAGGCAAGACGGGTATGCAACAAAAAACTCTTTACTACAATACTCACTCGGTGTTTTCTCCTTTCTCTCTCTTTCTAAAAGACTGACTAGATCGTCGGAAGGGATACGCCGGAAAACACTCCGGCGCTCTTCTAACTTGTTCTTCTTTGTTCCAGGAACCTCTTCCAGCCTTACTGGAGCGTTCTTCCGTTCCCAGGGTCTCCCATTGCCGTTCCAGGTTACCACCGGACCTCGCAGGCTGTTCCAAGCAGCGTGTTTGGTCGCTCAACCGGCTCACTCGAGTTCACCAAGGGAGAGATCTGTTCTCGTTTTTTATATTGTGCAGGATCTTGCCCGCACAATCTGGCGCCGTCTGTGGGAAACGACTAGTTTTCCTAGTTTTTTTCTCTATAAAGAACAGTGACCATGGTAAACACTCGACAGAAAGGGAAAGGACCCCATCAAAAGAGTCTCGAGTTACAAGCTCCCTGTCATCACGGAGGAAGGGATCACACCAATATGAATAAAAGTGCCTCTACTCGGTCAAGAGGGGTTACCCCTCAAACCAGTATGGGAATCAGGTCAGGGGGATCAGCCCTCTTGGCTCGTCAGCTGACGGAGGTGATTGAAGAAAAGTTTGGCGATAGATTATGTCAGCTGAAAAAGGACAATGTAAACGTCCTAAGCCGGCTCAACGAGTTTGCCGCCTCTCGCGAAGGATCGAGGGATTCATTCCTGTCTCGTGGGCTTCCCGCCCGGGAGGCGAAAACGAAGGATCTAAGAAACCACCTAAACAACAAAGCAGAAAGCTCTAGGGCCCCAAAGCGACCCAGAGCCGGCGAGCATCATCATGACAACCATTCAAGGAAAGCAAGGCCATTGGCCCTAGACGACCTCCGGCGAGGTTTGTCTAGACGGAGGAAGGGAGATGAATCCGAGGAGGACTCAACCCAATCCACACGACGCCCAGGAAATGAGGGGCTTACCCGATGAACTCAGGGACTTCAGAAGGCATCCCGTCAGGGAAGAAATTGATCTCAGAGCCCGGTTAGACTCCAGGAGAAAGGGTAAGGCTGTCCAGGATGAGGCTGAGGACGAAGTCATACAATCACCCTTTACGAGGGAGATCAGTGAGATGGAGGTTTCAAGAAAGTTTGTCGTGCCGCGGTTCAAAACTTATGACGGACGGTCCGATCCCGAAGCCCATGTCAGGCAATACAAGCAGATGATGTCCCTCTATCATTCGGACCAACGATTTCTCTGCCGAGTGTTTCCTATGAGCTTGGGAGACTCTGCGATGAAGTGGTTCGAGGCGCTTTCCCCCAACAGTATTGGGTCTTGGAAGGAATTGACTAAGCAGTTCCTGACTCGATTCATTACGGGGAGTAAGCGCCCCAAAGACATTGGATCATTGCTGACCCTCAGACGGAGGGAATCCGAGACTCTTCGCCAATACGCCATCCGATACTGGGAAGAGGTTAATGAGATAGAAGGCTGCTCGGAGGTCATGGCAGCAGCATCTTTTCGGCTCGGCTTGGCAAGGGACACGGACCTGTACCGATCCCTGACCAAGAAGACTCCCTCGGATATGGGGGAACTAATGGCCCGAATAAACAAATACTCGAGGATTGAGGACGAGATGGGAAGCAGCAAAGACCGAGCCCTCCAATCTAAAAGAAAAGAGAAAGAGCGGGAAGATATTCCCCGAAAAGGATTGCTACCCCTCCAGGGGTTTCGTCTAGAGGAGTTCACACTGTTTTCAAGGAACTCATCTTCAAGCTGCTCCATAAAATCAAGCACGAGCCGTTCTTCAAATGGCCGCCCAGGATGCAGAGCGACCCCTCCACCCGTGATCAAAAGGTTAGGTGTTCCTATCACCGGGATTTCGGGCATCGCACCGAAAGCTGCAGGGTGTTCAAATCGTTCTTGGAAAACTTAGTCCGAGACGGATATTTGAAAGAGTACATAGAGCCCAGGCCAGAAGAGAGACGAGTCACTGCCCCGACCGAGGAGCCGGACAACATCATAGATGTCATCCATATATGTCCCCTGGATCGCCCCACGTCCAAAGAACTGGAGTCCGACCTCAAGAGGGTAGCTTTTACCAGGAAGGTAGCCGAGGTTGATGTAGGGCCACCAAGTAAAAGGGCCAGACGGGTGAGCTTGGCATTACATTCTCCGACGCGGATTTGACAGGCGTGGTGATTCCTCATAACGACGCCCTTGTCTTGACCCTGAGGATAGGGAAATTCGATGTCAAAAGGATTTTGATAGATTCTGGAAGCTCCTCGGAAGTGATGTACTTCGAAACTTTGAAACGGATGGGTCTTGGCCCCAAAGACCTTACCAAAGTCAGGACACCCCTCATCGGGTTCAACGGCTCATTCGCCCCTGTTCGTGGGGAAAATCACATTGCCAGTTGTCACAGGTCCCTTTATCATCGACACCGAGTTTGTTGTGATCGATACGGACTCTCCCTACAACGTGATTATGGGGCGAACATGACTGCATGCGTTGGGAGCGGTGCACTCCACTTTCCACCAGAAATTAAAATTTGCCACGCCAGAAGGTATCATGGAGATCCGGGGGGACCAAGCGTCCGCGAAAAACTGTTTTTATTCAGCCGTTCGAGCCGGGGCGTCCAGCCAGGAGAAGGGGCGAGCACCGGAAGAGATTATGGAAAAATAGCAATTACAATCCGGGCGTCCAGGAATGGATGACCCCTGGATAGACCCAGCTGAGCGGTCGGTAGAAGACCTCCGGAAGGTGCCCTTGGTAGAGGGAGAAGAAGAGAGGTATTTCCTAGTTGGAACCTCGATGCCCACAGCCGAACAACAGGAGATGATCGAGTTCCTAAGGGGAAATACAGACGTGTTCGCGTGGAACGAGATGGAAATGACGGGGGTAGACCCCAAGATAATCACACACAGGCTACATGTTGACCCGTCGCACAAGCCAGTCAAACAGAGGCCACGACGCATGGCCCTGCATCACACCAGCGCGATCAACGAGGAAATCGACAAACTCCTGAAGGCCGACGCCATTCGAGAGATACAATTCCCAGAATGGCTATCTAATACGGTGTGCGCAAAGAAGAAAGGGGGGAAATGGCGTGTCTGCGTTGACTTTACAGATCTGAACAAGGCATGTCCCAAGGATGACTACCCCCTGCCAAAGGTGGACCAGCTAGTAGATGCCACTGCCGGATATGAACGAATGGACTTCCTGGATGCCCGAGCAGGATATCATCAGATCCCTCTCTATGCCCCGGATCAAGAAAAAACGGCGTTTATCACTCCGAAGGGAGTTTACTGTTACAAAGTGATGCCGTTTGGACTAAAGAACGTCGGGGCAACATACCAAAGACTGATGAATCGGATGTTCAAAAAGCAGATCGGCAACACCATGGAGGTCTACATAGACGATATGCTAGTGAAGAGCAAACGGAGTTGTGATCATCTGACAGATTTGGCGGATACCTTCTCCACCCTTAGGGAGTATGGGCTGAAGCTGAATGCGGCGAAATGCGTTTTCGGAGTGGAATCAGGTAAATTTCTCGGATACCTGG